CCGAGGGCCACATTACCATAGGAATGTGGAAGGCACGAGTCGCAAACACAGGACACAAGGACACGGCCAGACCTAAGACCGAAGAACACCCTTCAAGAACACGCGACCCTCCGCCAGCCACTCTGAAGAGCATTCGAGAATATCCCCTCCCAGGATGCAACAGAGACATCAAACAGACGCGAAGAACACCCGGGCATCCTCCCCGAACCCACCTCGATCTCATACCTCGGTCGGACCGTATCCTCCCTTGACCTGGCAGGGTCGCCTCACCAGTCAGCCTCGACGGGCCCCCCCCCCTGCGCTTCCACCGCGGTCGCCTGCCCCCTCCGGCCGAGCCGGAGCCGACCAGCCATAACTGGGGGAGCTGTGGTCCTTACCCCCCTGGGGGAACCCGTCGCATCGACGACCTCTCGAGAGGGGTGTCGAACTCGATGGGCCCCCCAGGGGGGTAAGGAACACAGCTCCCCCAGTTGTGGCTGGCCTGCGGAGCCAGGCGCGGTGATCCGCCTTTAAGGAGCCGCGCGGGGACGATCCCCCGGCGACCCGACCCGTTTCCGCCCCAGTCCGATCTCGCGGTTCGGTCCAGCTCGGGCCTGCCCAGGGAGAGGCCAGCGCGCCAGCGAGCCTGTCGTGGCCGGGCGTTGGTAGAACTGGGTTTCGTGGAACCTGGCTTAGGGATCTGCACTGGGGGCGGAACCGGTCACATTTCCACTCACCGGGACTGCCGCCACCCGGAAAGCATCAACTACGGCAGACCTGGTTTAGTGATTCCAATCCATCTGTTGGGCTTCGGGGACCAATCACTGACCGGCTCCCCTCAGCCGGGGTCCTGGCTATACCCGAGAGAGGCCAGCGCGCCAGTGAGCCTGTCGTGGGCCTGCCCGTGCACGGCGAGGGCCTGTCGTCTTGGGCCTGTCGCCTTGGGCCGGCCCGCCGGCCCCGATGCCCGCACCCCCTACCCCTGCGAGGAGGAGCTCTCCTCGGCGCGGGCCGCCGAGGCCCTGGCCAAGACCGCCAGGGGGGGGGGGGGGGGGCAGGGGCAGCGTTGGGAGATATGAGGGGGAGGGGGAGGAGGAGAGGAGGAGGAGGAGGAGGAGGAGGAGGGAGGAGGAGGAGGAGGAGGAGGAGGAGGAGGAGGAGGAGGAGGAGGAGGAGGAGGACGAGGAGGAGGAGGAGGAGGAGGAGGAGGAGAAGGAGGAGGACGAGGAAGAGGAGGCGGAGGAGGAGGGGGAGGGTGCTGGGGGGGGGGCGCCTTCAAGCTCTGGTGCGCGCTGCTCTGGGCCGCTCCCGGCCATGGCGCGCGGAGAGCCCGTGCCCGCTCGGCGGGCTCCCCAAGAGAATTCGTGTAGGAGATCGACTACATAGCTGGACACATCCCTTGGCTTGAATGATCCTATCTCGCGCTGTCCTCATACAGTAGTAGCTCGACCACAAGAAACCTTCCACAAGACACCCAACCCTGAGACACCATGATGTCCCTTCACTTTTGGTGTGGGAACGTCACGCGTTCCACAGCAAAACCATCGACACCCAAGAAACCCAGGGCACCCTGGAGGCAACCAGGGTGTTTCTTGGCATGGGCCCCCACTGTACGGCAGGTTCGTGTCGAGCCGACCTTGGCGCTGGTTCCTGACACCGCGGGGTTCGTTCAACCTTGAACGATTGGCCGTTTCCGAAACGTCAGATCGTGCCACATCGACCGACTCTGGGTCGCTGGCGGCGCTCAACGTTGAACACCAGCGGCGGGGTCGCCGCCGGTCGACACGACGCGAACCTACCGGACGGAATTGATCTGCCCCCAACATGATTCCCAGACGAATCTACGAAACGTGCCTGCAGTGTTCCGCAGATCTACGGAGTATTCTACGTATGTCCTCATGGGTTCGGCGAGGAAATCAATGTTGGGGCGAATCAATTCTGATTCTGAAGTCTTAGGTCGGGCATGTCCCCCTACAGACAGATGTGGGCCCAACAATTAACTATGCTTTGAGTATTTTTGAATATTCCCCTGTAGAAGGACAGGCCCGACTTGGCTGTAATCGATCCCAAGGAGAGAGAGAGAGAGAGAGAGAGAGAGAGAGAGAGAGCACACTCCCCCTCCACGAGGGCGCCCAGTTGCGCGCCCGGCGCTAAGCGAAGCGCGGAGAGCGAACCATTTCGCGCTCTCTCGCGCCGCCCCCCAGGAGGGAAGGGGAGGACGAGGAGGAATCGGAGCCGAAGCTCGGGTCGGGCATGTCCCCTTACCGGGGGATCTTGCACCAAACATCAAAACAGTACAAAAAATACATGTGTTTAAAAACAAAACATGTTTGACTACTCCTCTTGTAGAGGGACGTGCCCGACTTAAGCCGAAGCGCAAAGCGCAAATCACTTCGCGTCCTCGAGGGTGCCCTTGCCCCGAGATGGACAAGATCCCTCCCGGACAAAACGAGGCCAGGACGAGGACAAACTCGAGTGAGGGCCAAACGAAAATCTCCAAGATCCGGCGGCTCTGGAGGATGCATTGGGCGCCGCGGCTTTTTCGGAGCGTTCCGGAACGCTCTGAGAGCGTTCTGGTACGCTCTGGAACGGGAACGGATGGATCCTTGCCCCAGCCCCGCCCGACCCAGGGTTCCCCGGGAAACAACAGAACACCGATACCGCTGCTCTCCAGACCTCCCCTGGGGTGCGGTGCGACAGGGATCCCGAAGCCAGTCCACAGAGAGGCGAAAACCGTGGAGTTTCACGCAGACCAGAATTCACTGCGCGCCCAAACATCCGTCGCCTGATTGCGTTCACAACGTGGCCAACCAACGGTCTGGACAACTCCACGGGGACCAGTTTTTGTCCTGAGTCTGTCTCGACTGACCCGCGGCTTGGCCAGGGCCCCCCGACGGCCACAACTGGCCAAACTCTGTCCGTCGCACTTGCCTCACGGCGCAGGGTTGTCCAGGTGTTCCGCCCCCTGCACAACCGCTGGCCCAAAGGGGGACGGGGGGGGATAGAGAAGAAAAGGGGGGGGGGGAGGAGGAGGAGGAGGAGGAGGAGGAGGAGGAGGAGGAGGAGGAGGAGGAGGAGGAGGAGGAGGAGGAGGACGAAGAGGAGGAGGAGGAGGAGGAGGAGGAGGAGGAAGAGGAGGAGGTCGAGAAGGTGGACGAGGAGGAGGAGGAGGAGGAAGAAGAGGAGAAGGAGGAGGAGGAGCAGAAGGAGGAGCAGCAGGAGGAGGAGAAGGAAGATGATAGGAGGAGGAGGAGGAGGAAGAGGAGGAGGAGGAGGAGGAGGAAGAGGAGGAGGAGGAAGAGGACCCCCTCCCGACCGCGGCCCGGGCCCGCACGTCTCCGGGCGGCAGGGCCCGGCGCACGGCGGCGCGGCGGCGCGGGCGGGGTCACGCGCACCGCCGCCCACGGGAGGCCTCCCACGGAGGGGTTGGGCCGAAGGACCGCGCCGCACCGCCGAGGCACTGGCGCGGTGAATCGGCGATGCCTCGGCGGCGCTTCGGCGGCGCCCCGGCATGCCTCCACCTCATCCTCCTCCTCCTCCTCCTCCTCCTCGGCCTCCTCCTCCTCCTCCTCCTCCTCCTCCTCATCATCATCATTCTCCTCCTCGGCCTCAACCTCCTCCTCCTGCTCCTCCTCCTCCTCCTCCTCCTCCTCCCCTTGCGTTCGTAGCTGCGGTCCCGACTTCTCCTTCCCAAACTGCTACAACCACATCCTCGTCGCCGCCGTTCTCGGTCATTGATGCCGAGTGAGCCCTGGCAGACATGAGAGGGACAAATGAAATGACACAAAATACAGAGGCACGAAGCTGGGAAAGCAAAAGGGAGACGTCGTCAGCAGACAGGGGGGGAGATTTAGGGAGAGATAGAGTGAACAAATAAAAGAGGCAAGACCTCCTCAACGCGCCAGCCAAAGCGAAGTTGAGCAACGTCGTAATTGAGTCGAAAGTCGAAGGGAAGCCCCTTCCCTTCGATCCCTCCCCCGCTGGGGGGGGGGGGTCCCCGAGAGGGTCCCGGTGGGGATCCCCGGGGGAGGGTCAGATGCGACCCCCCCCCCCGGAGTCCCGGAGGTCAAAAAAGCCGGCCTCCAGACGGCCCCAGACGGCCCCGAGGCCTGCAAAGCGCCTCAAGAGGCCTCCAGGAGCTTTCCCACGAGAGCCCCAAGAGGCTCCATTCATTGATTCCCCATAGAATGTTGAAAGATTTTGGCGTTCTTGCCTCTTCCGCGTCCCGACGCGCCAAGACGGCCCAAAAGGCCCCCAACATCACCCGAGACGGCAATAGAGGCCCCCAAGAGGGTCCCCGAACGGCCGAAGAGGGCCCCAAGACGGCCCAAGACGCCTCCACAACACCCCAAAAGGCCCCCGAGACGGCTCCAGGAGATTGCCCAGACGGGGGACCCGAGCGGATATTTCGAGCTCTCAACCCCGAGAGGCCCCCAAGAGGCCCCGAAGAAGCCCCAAGAGGCCCCAAGAGGTTCCCAAGGGCCCCCCAAACTGCCCCAAGACAGCCCAGGGGAGCCCCAAATTGCCCACGAGGCCTCCAAGAATGTATCGAGACGGCGCAAGAGGAGCCCTGGACAAAGACGGCCTCTAGAGAGCCCCAGGCTGTCCCAAGAAAGCCTCTGGCCCCCTCCTTTTCCTCCTCTCCCTCCTCCTCCTCCTCCTCGTCCTCCTCCTCCTCCTCCTCCTCCTCCTCCTCCTCCTCCTCCTCCTCCTCCTCCTCCTCCCCCTCCTGCCCCCCCTCTGCTCCCCCTCCTACTGCTCTCCTCTGCCTCCTTCACCTCCTCATGTGTCTCATCAAACATCAGTATCCCCCTCCTCTTCCTCATCCAACTCATCCACCCTTCCTCCACCCACCACTCATCCTCCTCCCCCTGCCCCCTCTGTTCATATTCGCCGTTGGCAGACTCGGCGGCACTGGCCGCATGGCCTTCGCAATAAAAAAGGAGGCAACTGCATGCATGAATACGTGGGCGGCGGGAGATCGTAGGCCAAAACGGAGAAGGGGGATCTTCGGGCATCGGGTGGCAACTCACCCCATTCACGGCAGACCAGAGGAGAGGACACTGTATATAATGTATATGTGATTCGGAGCCACCCACACATCCAAAACGGCAGAAGGAGGAGTGGTGATGAAAACGACTGTCAGTACTTCTGGCGCCACACAGGACACGCCCTACATCATCGGCGCACAATCTACTCAGCCGGAGACCGCGCCGCTCAACCAGGGTTCCGATGTGGACCGCAAAGGGCTGCGAGGCAATCGCGCACAGACACCCACTCGCAGGACACCCCTGAACTGTGCCAGACATGATCGTGCACATGCACCTGTACACGTGCCATCCTGGACCCGAACACAGGACGGAGTCGCATATCATGTGGAGGAAGGCGAGGAGGGGCTGCGGCAGGTTTAACATCCCTAGCACCAGGAATATCGAGTGCTGCGCAATCGACGGGAACGCTCGCCCGTAACCGAATAAAACCAAAGCGGTTAGGCGAGTCTGCATATCGAGGAGCATAGAAGCGATGCGAGCCTGCTCGGCGAATTCTATGATGTTCTGGTCGAAATTGCTCGTCGCGATGAAACCTCGTTGGGAATTGACAACACAACTTGGGGGATTTCTCGTTATGGCCACGACGCATACTGACGCCATGATTTTGCAATCCGCGTTTTGTTCGGGCCCGGGGGCCTTGTGCTCGAGGCTTCGCGGATCACTAAATCGGAGTCCTCGGGCTCGTCGCCCCTCGCCAGGAAAGCCCCCAGCAGCGCGCTGAAATCAAACAAAAAAAGGCTCGCCGCCCAGTGTCCAGGAGAGCGCGCCACACAGAATCGCGGACCCCTTGGGATGGAATTTCCAGGCGCCATAAGGAAGTTCACGGGGGCCAACGGCGCCAAGGGAAACCGCTTGAAAAAGTCGCTGGGCATAGCTCTCTTCTGGCGGCGGCAAGCCCGATAAGTCCACGTCTGGCATCAACCTCGAGGCGAACTGGATCGCGGACGCGCTGTCGACCCCACGATTCGCAGAAACCTGGCCCTAGTACTCGGCGAGGCTAGCGCGCATGCCAACAGCATCGGCATGGACCGCCGGGGCCCCTGAGCTCTCGCCCGGGCCGCGGACGCCTCGGACGGGGGGGCTTCTAGTCGAAGGGGGCCCACCATCGGGGCCGAATCTGCAAACTCTTCAACCGCTCGCGAGGCTTGATACGAGGAGCTTCTGGTCTGCCCTGTTGGAGACGCTGCCTAGCGTCAGCCTGCGCCTCGCGGACGATAGCCGCGCGCGCCTCGTCGGCGCGGGCCCAGGAGCGCACGGGGCCGCTGATCACGACCGACTTGGCGAGCGCACTAACGCTCAGAAGCTGGCGGCCGCATGGGTAAGAGGACCTGGTTTTCTCGGCGAGGCGTGCGCCCTGTTTCCAGAGCGCACGAGCGATGGTCCGAACGGCCAGGAAGCGGGGCAGGGGGCCCTCGGGGCGCCCGCGGAGCATCGAGTCTCCAGCGCACCGAGAGGTCCGAGTCTCGAGCGCACCAGAGGTCCTCGTGGAAGGCGAGTTCGAGGGGGGGGGCAGGCCCGAATCATCCACCTTGTCGAGAGCGTTGGCGAAGAAAGCCTCATACTCGGGGCGGCGGAAGACATCTCGATGAATGCCTCTACACCTGGCGGCCTTCGGTTGGAAGGGAGACAACGCAGCGCCGAAAACTGCGCGGTCTGAAATCTGCCTCCGGCTCTATACCTCCGGGTAGCCGTGGATCCTGCCACCAGCGCGCATCTGCGTCATAGACAAACCTGGCGCCGAAACGAGCAGCCTGTCCAGCTTCCCAAGAGCCCCCTGCGCGATACAGTGACGCGTGCATGCTTGGATTTGGATCTCGATCATGTTCCTTCGGACGTCCTGCCATTTGCCTCGAGGGCGCGTCGTGGAGCCCGCCGCAGGGGCCACGGGGGTGCACGCGCCCAAAGGCGCGGGGAGGTAATCCAAGAAGCGTTGAACTCGCCAACTACGACGATGAAGGTCTCGAGGAGGTCCGAGGAGGCAAACTGGAGGCCCACGGCGATAGCATCTAGGGTGAAGTCGCGCACACACATCGACAGCCCGTGGCTGAGAATGCTGAAATGCGAAATCAAAGCCCCGCTAGGAGACAAAACTCGAACTTTCAACGCACGGCCCTGGACCAACTCTCTCTGCTGTCTGCGGCCTGTCGCACTCGGGATGCTCGACGCCAAAATCGGGCGGGAAGTCGATCGGACCCCCCGGCCCAGACCGCGAGGGCGGCGAGGAAGAGGGAGGAAGCACAGGAAGGTGGAGGTGGCAGAGGAAGGCCTGCACAGGAGGGTGGAGGTGGCAGAGGCCACGGACCTCCGCCTCGGCCCCGTGGAACTCCTGGATCCTTGGAATCGAACCCTTCCCCCGGAGCTTCTCAAGGTAATTACTTGATCTTCCGCGCCCGAGTTCTCAACTTGCGGAGGGATAAGGCACACCCATTCCACGAACCCACAGAAACCGGAGTAGGAGAGGGAACGAGGCCAGACCACGCTGCAAACTGGCCTTTTAACCCGCCACTGAACAGCTTCCGCGCGCGGAGCGAGCAGACTGAGACGAGCGTGAATCCCACTCCGATCGAAGCCGAAGGCGGCGAGGTTGCTCTCGGCGACCTCGACGATTGGCTCGGCGTCCTGGCCAGCCTGTTGGGCAATCCTGATGATCGGCTTCCACTGGGTGGATATCTCCCCGCGCAGCCTGTCGACGTGAAAATGGCAGTTCGCATGCAACGAGACCAACACTGATTTGACTTTCTTGGATAGATCCCCCTCTGAACTTGCATCGGCGATTTGTCCTGGGAGACACGAACGGACATAGGCCCAAAACGAATATGCTTCGGCAGGTTCTTGATTGATGGCTAGAGACTTCGGCCATACTCGCGGCGATGTCAACAGCTTCAAACATCTGCCAACTGCTCGAGCCGATCCTGAAACTACCCAAAATCTGGCTGATCTTCCTCGCCGCGTATGCTGCCGCGCCGCTGATTCAAAGTGTGAAGCGCTTGGCGGCAGATTCTCCTTCGAATACCGCTTCGGACATATCCACGTTGTTTTTTTCTGCAGAATTGGCTGCACCACCGCGTTCGGCATCTCTTGTTTCGGGATGGGAGACTTGGATCGGAGCACCAGGATGGTCGGGCCCGTGTCACGGTCGAAAGCGCTGTCCTCGAGTGTAGCTGTCTGAGGGGTCTCTGCTTGCATGATGCCAAGAACGCTTTCCAATCGCTCAACCTTCTCTCACAATGCTTTGATGTGGTATTCAGATCGCTGTCTCGTCTCCGCGGCTGAACAGTGGATTTCGACCTGTCTGCTGAGAGTGGTCCACGATGAATGAATGCACTGACGTCGTCATCTCCCCCGCTGGGTTCTGTAGCTTCCGAATCGATGCCATTAAGGAACCTCTGGTGTCATCAACATAATTGCGGATGTCGGCGTTACTGATAGCAGGTAGAGGATCTGCATCATCACCAGCAGTTCGGCTACGATCGTCAACTCTGGTCCACAAACTCGCACAAGTCGGCGGACGGGTTCCTGCGCCGGGAATGTGGGCGCATACTCGAGAGCCCGAAAGAGTGTTTCCGGCTCTGCGCTCGTGCATCCGAAGCGGGCCATCGTCGCCAGACTACGCTGGTACTGGGCGCCGAAAGGAGACCTGCAAAGGAAGAACAGGTGATCCCCTCAGGATCGGACTTGCACTCGAGAGAAGCCTACGGAGAGGCCGCAAAACTAATCGCTGGCCCTCGGGCGTCTATCCTCCTCCTCCTCCTCGGGGCTCCGCATATCGAGCCGCGTCTGCGCTGCGTCAGGTGGCGCGGCGCGATCCTCCGACCCCGTCTGCACAGGCCAGCTTGGGAAACCCATCAGGCACCGATGCAGCTGTTCCCCGGACCTCTCCCGGGGGTGCGCTTGAAGATGGATGGGGGTCCGGCGCAGGGCCCTGGCAATGGTGTCTTGATGGGCCATGCATGGGCGATGCATCCTTGATTTATGTGTTCGGCGGGGGAACCAAATGAAGCTCCCCGCCTGCACCCACGCGTGAGACTTGAAGGTGAACGAAGCAAAGAGGCGGGGGGCTCGGAAAAGGCAGCGAAGGCAACGTGCGCTGAGGACGCAACGAGAAAACGCTGGAATAAATGAAGACGGCGAAATGAGTGTCAAAATCTCCCCAGCCAATCTGACATGCGGAACACTTATGGGGGTCTGGAGGGCAAGGGCAAAATGTGAATTCACATTGTGGAGAAAAGCAGAATATGACTTCACATTTTGGGACAAAGGGATCTGTGAATTCACAGCTTGAAGAAACAAGGAAAATGTGAAGTCACATTTTGGAATATGGTCTAGAAATCTGTATGACGGGGCCAGAATGTGAATTCACAGTTTGGGAAAAAAAAACAATGTGAATTCATAATGGTTTTTTTTGTTTAAAAAAATGCGAATTCACATGTGGGGGGAATCGCGGGCCCCATTCCAGATCTGTCTTGGGGTCGACAAATCATCGTTTGGGAACGCACGCGATCATTAGTCGCACAATGAAGACACACTTGCACTCCACGTCGCCGCCCCAAAGCGCGATATGCAGGAACGCCCGCACGCATGAAAGATAATGGATGGGCGGCGCGTTTACCCGCGCGGGCAACGCGCGGGCACGAGCGACTGGCCATCCACGACCGCCAACGTTGAATGCCGATCATACCCGATCACATACATGAGCGATACATGGAGCATACATGGCCATTCAGCCCCCATTGAAGACCCCCTGCTGCAGCCCCGAAGCGCTAGCCAGAGCGCAGCGCTCTGGCTGGCGCCTCCGGGCAGACCCGGCGGTGGCAGACGCGAGGGCCTCCCAGGAGGCCCCGGGAGGGGAGAGCGAGGCGAGGGCAGAGGCATGGACACATACGCCTCTTCCTCCCCTGACCCCTGGCAGGCCCGCAGGCCTTTCTGGCGCCGCGCTGCGGGCGGCCGCGCCGCGGCTTCGCTCCGCGGCGCGCCGCCGTGGCCGTCCGCGTGCCGCGGGCGCCCGTCGCGGCGGCCGCCGCCCGCCGCGCGGGCCGCGACAGCGCGGGCGGGCGCGCGCGCCCCGCGGGCCGCGTCGGGGCTCGGCTCCTCGGCGCCTCGGCAGGCTCCGTGCGCGGAGCAGCAGCGTGCGCGGAGCAGCAGCAGCGACTGTCTTTCGGTCGGGCGTGTCCTTCTACAGGAGGCAGCTTCAAAAAGAGTGGAGGCATAGTTAGTCTGGGGACGAGTCTCTTCACTGCGTCCATCTCTGTTTGGGTATGGTGTGAGTCTCCTTCTGTTTGTCGTCCGCAATCCGCCTCTAAGAGGACGTGCCCCAGCCACCGGCTGCGAAGAGCGAAGCGCGGCCATCTGTGCGCCCGCGCGCGGCCCCGGCGAGTGCCCGCCGAGTGCCGCCCGTCCTCGCACGGTACTGTGCCCCTGCCCGAGCGACGGCAGGCCCGGGCCGTGCTCGCCGGGCATCGGCCAGCGAGAGGGGGGCGAGGAGAGCGCAGGGGGAGCGCCAAGGGGGGGAGGGGACAGGGGCAGGACCTGCCGTGTCGGCACGCTCCTCGCGCACACCAGGCCCCCCCTGGGACCCCCCCAGGAGCCCGCCGCTGGGGCCACGGGGGCACCACTCCGGGCGAGACCCGACCCGGGGAGACCCGCCGCAGAGCGCACCGCGCGGGCACCACTGCCCCGAAGGGGGGACGGTCACCCCCGGCCAGGAGCCCGCGGGCGGGAAGACACGGCGGGCAGCCAGCTGGCCAGCTCGTGGCCACTTCGGCGACGCGCCCGGGGGGGAGGGAAGGAGGCGGGCCTTCTCAGAGGGCTCGGAACTCCCCTGGCCTCCTAGGAAGTTCTCCAAGCCTTCCCCGTGGGCGCGGAACACTTCCCAGAAGGCGCGAGGGTTTCTGAGATGTCCCGCCGCCGTCTGAGAAGGCCTTGTCCTTCTCGTTGCCCCCCCCGCTCGCCGCCAAGAATCGCCACTCTCACACACGCGCACAAACACACACACACACACACACACACACACACACACACTTCGGGCGTAGCGACGGGTGATGCAGGGCTCATCCATAGCAAATCGCACTGGGCTGGGACTTAATCACAAACACACACACGCACTTGTTGGCGTCGCGGCCCCTCGCGCAACGTCGAGGCGTAGAATGTTGAAAACTACAAGCAAACAAGCGTCTAACCGCCCAAGCCCTCAATGACCGCTTAGGGCCACGCAGGAGCCGGCAGCCACACACACACACACACACACACGCACACACACACACACACGCACTCAAACAGACTGCGCGGTTGTCGCAGGCGGGCCGCTCGCCACACCGTCGGACGCGACGCTCGGAGAAGTGCGCGCGCGCCCAGCAGTCAAAAGAGAGGGCAAGGGAAGGCGAGACGGCCGATCCCCCGCACACACACACACACACACACACACACAACACACACACACAACACACACACAACACACACAACACACACACAACACACACACACACAACACACACACAACACACACAACACACACACAACACACAACACACACAACACAGACAACACACACACACACACACACACGCAACACACACACACACAACACAAACAAACACAAACACACACACACACACCTACACACAACACACACAGACACACACATGCACGTCGTGCTTGACTGTCCTTCAGGGGCCCTCAGCTGGCCCTCCAGACAGCTCAAGAGATCCTCCCATCCCATCCTCGCCTTCCAGAGGTGATCCGCGGGCCCTCAGGATGGATGAAAGGACCCTCATGTTCTGGACTCGTTTGGCTCGAGGATGGATTCCAAAGCCTCCGAGAGACTACCCAGACGGCCCAAGTGATCCAATATGGCCCATGATGTGCCCAGAGGCCCATGGATGGCCTCCAAGACATCCCGCCCAAGACCTCCAAGACGGCCCCAATCCATCTCCGAAACCCAGGAAAAGCCCGATAACATCAGAGACGGCCCCAATACATCTCCGAGACCCAAGAGCCCAATAACAAGAGGGTCTCGAGGCCATTCAACCGACTATCGCTGGCTCGTATTTTTGCGTGTTCGCTTCCCCGCAGGAGCCAACCTCTGGCCTGGCAAGACTAGTCCATGTCTGTCCGCGAGGGCGCCAAGATGCCTGACCCCCCCCCTCCCTGTTCCTCGCCTCCTCCTCCTCCTCCGCCTCCTCCTCCTCCTTCCTCCTTCTCCTCCTCCTCCTCCTCCTCCTCCTCCTGGACCCCCCCCCTCTCCCGCAGGAGCGAGGCAGAGGGCGGCGCGAGGAGCCACGCCGCCCCCCACTCCGTTCGAAGGGACAGGCGCGTCCCACTACTCGCAAAGCAACTGCTCGCAAGTGGCCTGGATCCACCATGGGGGATCTGCGATAAATCACATCGAGGCAGACATGTGCGTTTCGGACGTTTGCGAGTAGGCACTTTGCGGGTAGCGGGACGCGCTCGGTGAGAGGGGGGCGAACCCCACATCCCCCCTCAGAGGTCGTGGGGAGGTGGGGTAGGGCTTGCATTTGGCCTCCCCTCGTGGTGGTGTCGCTTCTTGCCTGCGACCCCTCGCCAGGGCCTCGGGCCCAGAGCCCTCCGGGCCTGCTCCCCCCCCAGCAGAAACTGCCACAAAGCGGGAGGGGGGCCTCGGGCTGGACCCGCCTTAGGGTGGAAGGCTCAAGGTGAAATCCATATGGTTTTGGCGCCTCGGAAATCAGTCCGTCTTGTGATTCACCAAATGCAAATTCTCTCGGAAATCCATCGAAACGGCATTTCAGATTTCTCTCGTTGCCCTCCACCCAGAGAAAATGCTCGGGAAAAGATGAACGCATCGGCATCTGCTCGCCCTGGACCGGCCAACAAGGGCAGTCTGACATGGGCTCTCGCGCGAGCGGACAAGTGCATGCGGCCGACATCGTCACGCAGTTCTGCGTTAGATCGAGCTGGACTTTCCATGTCGATGGTATCGAACACATCAGCAGTGGGGATCGCATGATGGCCAAAATCAAATTAAACTCAAGGACGACTGGAAGATCAGAGCCAACTAAGTCGCTACCATCGTGGCCGCGCATTCTCAACGGTGTCGGTGTCCACGGGCGCCAGTTGATGTCCACGGGCGCCAAGTTGCCAATATCGGCCTTGCAACACCATCAGCGAGAAGCCGCAAACCTGACAGCTGACAGGCGCTCACAATGTCCCAAGCATTGCACCCTACCCCGGGTTTGATCATGGATCGCCTCAAATAACCAAACACGTACACGAAGCGCCCGAGCGGTAGCGAGGCATGGGAGGATTCAGCTACTACGAGTCCCACAGCTTGACAGAACGAATAAGTGCCTAAGCAAACGGGCACGTCCAAGGGCCCGTCGCACTCATCCTGTAGATGTCGCAGGCTGCGGGGCTTCCACGTGAAAGATGCATTGCACACTGTCCAAGCCCGTAGTGAAGATGCAACGTAAGGATGCGTGGCTCAGGATGGGCCAAAAACGCAGCAATGAAAGGGTTGACTCGTGGAATCAGCGCATCCCTACTGTGAATGTTGACAGTCAGTTGCTGCTGGACGCCACGGATGTGCAGGACGCCCCGCGCCAGCAGCGAAAGGGGTTGCCTCCACCTGCCATGCCTCGATCATCTCACGGGGCGACGAGGAGTGGCCCAAGGCTCCGTACGATCTCTCTCTGGCGGCGCGCCAGGAGGGGAAGCGATGAGGGGGGCAGGCCTCCTCAAAGGCAACGGGGCTCCTCAAAGCCCTCCGACCTTCTGAGAAGCCGCCGCCGTCTCCGGAGAAGGCTTAGAGGACTTCCTGGGAGCCCCAAGGCCACGCGGGTCTTCTGAGAAGGCCCGCCCCCGCTTCGTTCCCCCCTGGGCTCGCCGCCGATTGCTGATTACCACCGTTGACGCAAAAAACGCCCACCAGGCAAAATGGACAGGGCTGCTGTGTTCAGAACCCACTGTGGACCAATTTCAATGTTGAAAAAGGGGCTGCCTTTGCGGTGGAACTCTGAGCATTTTTGTGCACCCCGACAACGGCCGCGAACGCAACAATGAAATGGAGGGCCCGGGGGCGACACCGTCGACGCAACGTTACGCCAACAGCGGTAGGGCAAGCAGGGGCCAGGGGCTGTGCAGCAGAAACAACAGATCTTCGGTAATATATGAACGACCACGTTTCTTACGACTGCCGTGCGAAGCATGTCATTGAGCCGAGGCGAGGGCAAGCAAGCACCTCCATGTTTGGAGAGATACTGGCATCCCTACCCCCGTTGGCACGGAGATCAATCACGCTCCGCATTCCTCTTCCCCCTTCCACTGCCTTCACACCCCTCGTCTAACTATCCCCTCCCCCGAAACCCCCCCTCCCCGCACCAGGCCGCCGCCCTCTCCAGCCAACCCTACCCCTTGCCCCCACCAGCCTCCCTCCCACCCCTCCTCCTCCCTCCTCGAACGAATCCACCTCACCGTTCTATCATAGACTGCGTCTCTCTCTCTCTCTCTTCTCTCCTGCTCCCCCCGATGGGGGAGGAGGCGGAGGAGGCGGAGGAGGCGAGGAGGCCTGTCCGCCCACTCGCCAGGCTGTGGGGGCGATGCATCCCCCGCCCCCCTGAGCCGAAGGCCAGACACCAACAAGTCGGAGACGGACAACCCTGGGGGTCACTGGGAGCAACCAGCCAGAGGATGCGCGAGGTACCACAGCCATGAGCGCTCTGGGAACCTCGTTCTTCGAGTCCTGAGACTGCATGGCCCAATCAGGGCCGCGTGGAACGCTGTGTTATCTCCGCGCTCTTGCGCCCTTGGGCTCGCCGCCGAATGATCGAGCACCTGAGGAAGAGAGGCAGAAGAGCCGATCGAAATGAATCGGATCGGCAGAAATCGGAAGCCAAAACATCGGGAGCAGTCGCACCGGCGGAAACCAGCAGACCTGCAAGGCCCAAACCCAGCTCGGAACTCGAAGTCGAATCGGAATCGGCATCGGCATCGGCATCGAGATCGGAATCGAACCGAATCCAGTCGGAGGCATCGAAATCGAGCCCTGCCGACGGAGCCGAGGCATCCATCGAACTCGAATTGGACCGGCTCCAGTCGGAGGCATCGAAAGATCGAACCCTGCCGAGGGAGCCGAGGATCCTCGGCGGGCCTCGGCGGTCTGGCGGCGGTCGTTTAACCGATCCCCATCCCCAGCGGCATGGCCTGGGCCCCGCTGGCCGATTCACCCCCCTAGATGGGGATATGGGTCGTTCCCTTCGGGTTTCGAGGGGTGTATCCCCAACTGGGGTGGCTATATTTGGTGAGGGTCTCGAAGGGGATGGGGATGGGGATGGGGATGGGGCTGGGCTGGGGCTTGGTGAAACGATACCGATCTGCGGCGAGCGCCCCGCCCCGCCACGGCCCGCCCGCCCGCGCCTGCAGCCGCTGCAACTCAGGGCCCCGCCGCCGTGGCGGCGGCCCCGGCGCAACGGAAGTCCACGCGCCGCACCGCGGACACGTCGTCCAGGTCCACGAGGAGGGCGCTGGGCTGCCTGTGAGGTGAGAGGGAGAGGGAGAGAGAGGAGGAGGAGGAGGAGGAGGAGGAGGAGGAGGAGGAGGAGGAGGAGGAGGAGGAGGAGGCGGAGGAGGCGGAGGCGGAGGAGGCGGAGGAGGGGGAGGAGGCGGAAGAGGGAAAGGAGGAGGAGGAGGAGGAGGAGGAGGAAAGGGAGGAAGAGGAGCAGGAGAAGGAGGAGGAGGAGGAGATAGAGGCTGGTGTGGCGCCGCTGAACGAGAAGCGGGTGCCCGCTTTTGGACAGGCGCGCGCGCCGCGGCTTGGGCAGGAAGCAGCCCGCGAACGCGCCATCCTGAAAACCGAATGAGAGGTGAGAGGGAACAGAAGCTAGCAGCACGGCAGCAAGTCAAGCCCTGAGCGCACCACAGCCAACAAAACAAACACAGCCGAATACGGGTAGAGCAATGATACGACTGATAAAGTAAAAAAACAAAAATAAGGAAAGTCTGAGTCATAACGATAATAAGAACCACACTTGTAATGAAAAACACACTATTACGCAAAATAATACGAATACGAATAAGCAATATACAATACAAACTGAGCTAAACAACGCAAGAACATACGAATAATGACAATAACATGAATGCGAAAATAAATACGTATATAAAAATATAAGCACATGAATAAGAAAGGTAAGGCAAATAACAATCATGTCATAAAACCAATGGGACTCAACTATCTTCTGCAAGACACTTCTGGCTGCTCAGCTGTGGAAGGAGGGCTTAACTACAAAATTGAGCGCCCTCATTTCAGGATCCCTGCTGCGGGTCTCGAAACAAGCCTGAAATCACCCGCAAAACCAGGGCATGGACCAAAGGCGAGGAACAAGGGAGAACCGATATCGATGGCAGGTTCGCGCGGTGACGTCGGCGTTGGTTTCTGACACCGCGTGGATCATTCAGCCTTGAACCGAAGTGTCCCGATAGCGCAGATCACGCGATCTCGGACGACTCTGGGGCACTTGCTGTGGTCAATCTTGAGGCCCCGCGCCGGGGTCGCCGACGCGTCAACGCGTCGCCAACCCCTGGCGGCACGCACAAGGGGGTGGGAAGAAGGGAGAAGGCTCCTTAAGAGGAGGCTGCTTCTTCGAAGCGCCAGCCCTCCGTCTGTGGAGAAGACCCGCGCCTTCAAAGAAGCAGGGGTGATTCTGCGAAGCCTTCTCCCTCCCCCTACCCCTCATTGCACCAGTCTTGCAGACGTGTTGCAGCAGAATTCTGCGTGGATTTTTGCTCGAAGCCGCGAGCGAAAAACGAAGCGAATTTTGCGTGGATTCTTTCTCGGATTCGTCCCTGGCCAAACCAAATCCGCACGAAGTGCACCTCGACGTCCGGAACGAAATTCTCCAGGACCCTCCGGGCCCATCCGATCGTTTCCCGACCGAAATCCACTCTGCGATGGTGGCGCCATGATGCCTACGGCAAGTTCGTGTCGTGTCGACCCGGGCGTTGGTTCCTGACAACGCGGGGATCGTTCAACCTTGAACGATCGGCCGTTTCCGCAACGTCCAATCGTTCAACATCGACCGATTATGGGCCGCCGCCGGCGTGCAACGTTGAACGCCGGCGGCGGGGTCGCCGCCGGTCGACACGACACGAACCTGCCGTACCTCTGCGCGTGGCAGACGCCCGCTGCACCAGCACCGAAACTCCACGGCGCAGGGCCGCATGTCGGGCCGAGGCCCGCGCGGGCGTCGCAGGCCTGGCGGGGAGCAGACACGATTGAAGGGGCCCCAGGACACACAAATAAAAACACACAAATCCCAGGATTCCCCATATTTTCCCATATCTTCTGGGTTTTCGTCTTCCCCCAGACTTCCCATCTTTTCCCTATTTTCCTGAGCATCGACGATTGCTTGTGTCTGTTTCTTTCTCTCCTCCTGAACAATTACGGTCTGAGATGTGGACCAAACTTTAAGTCGGGCGTGTCCTCCTGCAGGCGGATTCTGGACGAAAAATAGAATACTAGTAATACCGATGGGAAAACAACCCAAAGCGATAGAAAAATCGCCCCCATACTGTTCTTTGACTGTCTTTGAACTTTCTTCCTGCAGAGGGACGAGCTCGACGCAAGCCCACCTACGCTGGGAGTGTGGAGGCTCAGCGGCGGTGGACCGTGTTCCCTCTCCCGGCCGCCGCTCGAACGCGGGCAGACAGACGGCGAGGATCTGCTCGCAGCCGGCCCCCTGGGGCTCTCGCCAAGACGCCACCTCCAAATCGCCGGCGCAGTTGCCCGCGAAGAGAACCTGGAGCAAGCAGAGGGCACCCAACACCGCCACTCCCCAGAGCTCTCCTGGAGTGAGTTCCGACCAGAGTGTCGATGCGATTCCAGTCATGGCGACGACGGCCTCCCCGGCGGCCCGAAAAGGCGAAATCGAAGGAAAGGTAGCGATGCATCGGTACACCGTTAGGTCGGGCATGTCCCCCTGCAGCCGGATTTTGGAAACAGAATTAAGAATAGTCAAAAGAACTACTAGAAAATTGTCAAAAAAGTAAGAGGGAAATCGTCTCCAAATCATCTTCTTCTGACTATTGCTGATCCTTCCTGTAGAGAGACGTGCCCGACTTAAAGTACACCTCCTGCTCTTCTGGGGACCGTCTGCCGGCCGGCGGGGCTGCCATCGAGAGCGCCGCCGCCCGCGCCGCACGGCAGCAGGAACGGGTCTCGAGCCGCCCCCTCGCCCGCGGCCGCGGCGCCGGGCCCTCCGGCCACGACGCCGGCCCAGTGGGGCGCCAGGTGCCGCAGGTGCCAACTGGCGCGCAGGGCCGCCAGCGCGGCGGCACCGCCGCTGGGATTAGGTCGGGCAGGTCCTCCTACAGGCGGAGGTCGGACGAAAAATAAAAAGTTGACAAACGCATGTGCTGCAGACATATCAGAGTGTATGATTCTATCAAAAGACATGTGTTTCGCTATTTCTGGATACTCCTCCTGTAAAGGGACACGCCCGGCTTAACGCTAGGCGTGCCCGCCGCCCCCGCGAAGCGCAGCGCCGCGGCGACCGGCTGGCCGGACGTGCCGACGACCTCCAGGCCGGCGCCAGCCGGGCCATCGCCGGCGCCGGCGGGCGCGGGGCCAGGGCCGGTCCCGCCGTATGGGCTGGGCAGCAGCTCCAAGCGCCTGGACGCCCGGCACCTCGGGTCAGGTCGGGCATGTCCTCCGACATCTCGATCGCCAGAAAGAATTTCAAGCACCAAAACTGGAGGGTTCTCACGTGTCGAGCCCTGGGAGGCGGTACTTGTTTGACACCTTTCGATACTGTTCTGGGAGCTTGAAATGAATCGTGGGATGTGGTCCTTGAGTACGATGGGGGCAACATAACTACACAGGCGGATTTGGCACGAAAACTGAAACATATTCAACAGATATTCAAAAATAACCCCCTAAAAATCCCCAACCCACACCATTTTGGAATGTTTTTCTTCAAATTTTCCTCCTGTAGAGGGACAAGGCCCGACTTGAGCCTCGGGAACAGCGCCCGGGGCAGCGGCGGCTGCACCATCCCGGGCAGGGCGCCGATGTCGCCCTCCCCCGCCTGGACCGCCACGGAGACCCCCGAGAAGACCAGCGGCGCCAGCAGGAGGTCCGCCGTGTCCGCGGCGGCCGCCGCGGCGCCCCTCGGCGGGTCCTCGCCCGACCAGCCCCGGCGCGCCGCGGGGTCCTCGTGCAGGCCCCCGGCCACCAGCAGGCGACCGACGCGCGCGGCCACGGCCCTGTCCTCCGCGCCGCCGACCCGCCCCAGGAGGAAGTCGCAGAGGAGGCTCAGCTCGGCAGGCCGTGCGCACGAAGGCCCGACGCGAAGGCCCGACACCAGCGCCAGCAAGCGCCGCGCCGACGTCGGGCCCCTGCTGGGCTGAATGTCTGTCAGCTCCACTGGGACGACGGCCGGCAAGGCCCCTCTGGGATCGCTGGCCAGAGGCCGCTCTGGCGAGGACAACCTCAGCACCCCTCCTGCGGCGGCTGCGCCGGTGGCAAAGAGAGTCCGGCTCTGTGCCTCCAGGCGCCCGCGGATGGCAAGGACTGCCCCAGAGACGAGGCAGCCGCCTGGCACCGCGTCGAGGCCAGACACCACCAAAGAGCCGAGCCCATCTTCGAGAAGCGGCGCACAGTGCACGCCCGTGAGCTCGCCGATGGGCGAAGTCAGGCCCTCTGCCGCTCGCAGGCGCCGCAGCTCCGAGGGTAGCAGCCGCGGGAGCACTCGCAGCACGCCCACCGCCACCACGTCCGCGCAGTCGCCAGCGAGGCTGCCGAGGCTCTGCAGGAGGGCGGGCACTGGGCCGCAAGTCTGCAGAAGGCATGCCTGCACACCACCGCCACCATGCCTGGCCAGGGCCACCCCCCCGGCCCTATAGAGCGGTGTGCTTGCGCCCTCCAGGCGGAGGCCAGGAGGGCGTCCATAGGGGGCCACATGCGAACCCTACTCCTACCCCCCACGATTTCTGAGGGGGAGGGTGGGGTTCACTTCGCTCGGGAGCTCCCGAACGAAGTGAACCCCACCCTCCCCCTCAGAAATCGTGGGGGGTAGGAGTAGGGTTCCCATGTGGCCCCCTAGCCCAGGCGCATCCCAGACGTCGCGAAGTTGCTCACAACTCGGGCCCCCCAGAGGTCAGGACTCCGTGCCGGGAACTGGCGTCGCATCCCGAGCCATGCTGTGGCCGGCCCCCGGAGCCCGGTGAGGGCCCCCGCGGAGGCCGGAAACGTGTCAAGGTTCGATCGGGCATGTCCTCCTGCAGGCGGATTTGGGACGACGAAGCAAGTCTTCCACAAATGCTCACCAAACAACCCACACACACACACACACAAAAAAAACGTCCCCTGACCACTCTTTGACGATTCTTGGAGGTTCCCTCCCCTGGCGAGGGACGTGCACGATTCAATGTGCAAGCTCCCCTGCGTGGTGACTCCTCCCACCGCGCGAGGCCGCCTGGCCTGGGCTGCTGGTGTGCGGGCGCCCCCTGCGGAACAGGCCCCTGCTCCGCCAGCGGGGGCCCCGCCGGCCGCGCCGGTGCCGTGCGCGGGGCAGCCCCAGGGGGCCGCGCAGACCGCGAGGAGCGCCGGGCGCAGCGCCTGCAGCCGCGGGGCGAGAAACTCCCACGAGGCCATCGCCGCTCCCGGGCCGCCCGGGGGCCCCGCCCGCGAGCCACGGCTGAGCCCACGGAGCCTCGACTGGAAGAGCGCGGGTGAAGGTTTTTGTTGTGCGTCGTTTCGGCACCGGGCGGGAGGGCGGGGGGGGTCTGGCTCTGGACCTCTGTTCAGTGCGACTGCTTTTGCAAGAGTGCTGCATCAGGGGAAGACTTCACCCGCTCGAAACAGGCGCCAGAAAACAGCCAAGATCTACTCCATGGGGGGGGAAGGGGGGGGTGGGGGCCCGCGCCGATCGGCGAAACAATGAAGGAAAAAACTATCACCAGACGGGCACGACCCGTTCACGGCCTTCGGATCCCAGGCTCGCGCTGTAGCGCCAGGCTGGCGCTTCCTATCTCGCGGGTCGCTCGCTGAGCGCACAGGGGCGGCAGAGGACGGCCGAGGGACGGCATGGGGTGCGCACCTGTTTCGGTTTCTTGTTGCCTTGGCCTGGTCTCCTCCTCCTCCTCCTCCTCCTCCTCCTCCTCCTCCTCCTCCTCCTCCTCCTGCTCCCGCCCTTCCTCCTCCTCCTGTTCCTGCACCTCGTGCCGTTCCTCCTCCCTCCGATATCCCATTCGGCCAGGAACTGAGGGAGCTCAAGCACATCCCTCCTCCACCATTGCCTCCACCCGCCTCCTCCTCCTCCTCCTCCTCCTCCTCCTCCTCCTCCTCCTCCTCCAGGAAGGGGGGGGGCGAGGGAGAAGGTGGGCAGCCAAAAGTGGAAGGGAGGGGAACGATGGAGTGGTAAGGGGGCAAGGGGAAGGAGAGGGTGGGAGAAAGGGGGGAGAAGGGATCCTTCGAACAGGACAATCCCTCCGCGAATGCTTCATGGGAGAGGACGGAGTGGGGAAAAGAAGACCGACCTCCTGGAAGAGACCCGACGGACGGAAGGGTCACGCGTCGGACACCCGAGGGGGTCATCTTGCGTGGAGCTGCGCAGCGTCCTCCGAAATAGCTCGGCTTCGAGACGAAGGGGGGCGTCTGGCTTCGAGACGAAGGGGGGCGTCCTCCTTCCCAGGGGACAGAACTCACGACTCAGGTTAATCTGAATGTTCGCCGTCAGGAAGCAGCTGATGCACTCCAGGACCGCCAAAAACGACCCAGGCTGAACAATCGGAGGGGTCTGGACCGGCGACTCGAAAAGATCGAGTCCCTGCAGGTATGGGAGGCCCCCCCTGCTCCTGATCCTCCTCCTTCTCCTCCTCCTCCTCCTCCTCCTCCTCCTCCTCCTCTTCCTCCTCCTCCTCCTCCTCCCTCCTCCTCCTCCTCCTGCTCCTCTTCCTCCTCCTGCCTCTTCTCCTCCTCCTCTCCTCTGCTCTACTGCACTCCCTTCGGGTCTTCCGTTCCCTCCTCCTCCCCTCCTCCTCCCCTCCTCTCCTCCTCCCTCCTCCTCCTCCTCCTCCCTCCTCCTCCTCCCTCCTCCTCCCTCTCCTCCTCCGCCTCCTCCTCCTCCCCCTCCTCCTGCCGACCGTCCATGCCACCAAAGGCGTGGCACGCGGTCGAGGGCACGCGGCTCCTTCGAGAGGGGCACGTCCCTCCTCTGCCCCTTTCCTCCAATCGCAGACGCTCCCGATCGAGACCATGACTGGGGAAGCCAGCACTCATGAAGACCTTCCTGGAGGCCTCGCGCGCCAACTTGAGACCCGATGCACGTCGGATCCACGTCGCATTTACGTCGGACCACGTCGGAATTGCGTCGGAGTTGCATCGGATTGACGCCAGAGCATCGCAGCACGAGCGTCGACCCATAGGTTACGGAGCTGACGTGTGGACTAGATAATACAACTATTACGCGCCGCGCGAGACCTCCTGGATTTTCCCCATAACAAACGGTACCGAAACCGCTACTCCCTGAACCTCTCCCAGGGTGCGGTCTGACCAGTATTTCGAGGCGAATCCAGCGGTGGCAACGAGGGCCTTCCGGGAGGCCGAAAGAAAAGAAAAAGAGCGCAGAGTAGCGGTAGAAATACCTCTTCGCCCTCTGAATGACGGGATGGAAAGCGGCTCGGGGCGCAGCATCTGTACCAGCTAGGCGCCGGCGGGACCAGCCCGCTGCAGCGACATCGCTGGCCGCCCCGCACCGTGTGTGCCGCGAGGGCACCGGGCCCTGGGCGAAGGCTGGAAGCGCTAACGAGAGGCCGCCTGCTATTGGCAAGGTGCCGGCGCTCGCTGCGCATCGGCCCCGCGCGGAGCCACCAGCCTATGAGATCGGCGCTCTCAAAGCCGACGACACGTGGCGTGACGCCCCGTGCAGCAGATCCAGCTGCTTGGTGGCCGCAGCCGGGTGGCGCGGGCGATACGGCAAAGTACTTAATATTGGCTGCTTCTCTCTATGTATATATATATATAGGTACACATGTACAGATCTGTCTCTCACATTCTGTCTCGCGTTCTCTCCCGCACCATCTCTCGCAGTCTATTTCTCCCTCAATCTCTCCCGCAATCCATCCCAGCGTTCTTCCTACGGTCCTTCTCTGACTCTCTGTGTCACTCTGTCTCTCTCTCTCTCTCTCTTTCTCTCTCCCTTCCCTGTCTCTTTCCCGCGATCCTTCCCTGTGCCCACCAAACTACGCAGTCAGGACTGTTCCATCCCAGCGTTCTTCCTACATTCCATGTCTGTCTCTCTGTGTCTCTCTGTCTCTCTCTCTCTCTCTCTCTCCCCCTTCCCTATATCTTTCCCGCGATCCTTCCCTGTGCCCACCAAACTACGCAGTCAGGACTGTGCATCTAGAGCATGGACGGACTGTCAACGTCTAAGAAAGCAAACGCAAAAACTCAATGAAAAACGGCGAGTGGCCGCACATCAAAAGATACCAGTGCCGCTGCCAACGCCAGTGCAAGTAGCTGCATGAGGGAAACAACTTCGCATCCAGACACCACCGGGGGTTACGCCATGCCGACGGCACAGGCGCGCCTCCCAGAAGAAACAGAACCGCGCCAGAATAGAAGCCGAGATATTCCAAGAACCCAAGAATTGGCGGCGAGCGAAGGGAGGACGTGAGAAGGAAAAGGCGGCGGGACTTCTCGGAAACCCTCACGCCACCTGGCCGCTTCGGGGAAGGCTTCGAGACCTTATGAAAAATGCCGGGGGACTTCCAAGCCTTCTGAAAAGAACCCGCCCCCTCTCGTCCCCACCCGCCCGGGTGCGCCGCCGATGGGAGTGACGGGCGCCAACGGCAGGCCTGTCCAGGGGCGCCTGAAACACTGCAGGGTGGGAGTACGATACGCTCTCGGACATCGGCCCCTGTGGCCAGCCTGGAGAGAGAAGGCAGGGCAGCACGACTGTGGAAGAGCAAGCCCCCGACGAGACGTGCCCCAACATGCGCCCACCCGTTGACCACGCAGGGTTTGTTGTCAGGCCCTCCTGCAAGCACTACGTTGGTAACAGCATGAGCAGCAACAGCGACAAGCACAACAATAGCAGGAACACACACACACACAAACAAACAAACAAACGAACAAACTCACAGACAGGCGAACAAACAAACAGGTGAACACACGTTCGATCATTGCGGCGCGGCGCGGTATCTATATGCAGCATGCATCCATCATGACAACTCCCCTCTCATATGGGGGATGTTTATCTTGAGCACGGGGGCCGGATATTCCCTGTCCCTGATCTCCCGCCCGAGGAGGTCCTGACAACACCTCTTCTGAGGCACCTCAACATCTCCAGCCTGCATGGCACATCGCCGTCGCGATCCCCTTGCTCAAGCCTTGCTTCTAAGTCTGGCTCTTCCGCTCCTTGGTTTCTACAAATCACCCCAGGGGGGTTGTGACAGCGACGGGCGGCGCGCGTGACCGCGACGAGCGGGGGGGGCGGGGGGGGCCCGTGACAGTGACCTTCGCGGGGGGGAGGGGGGCTTGTGACAGTGACCCCGCGGGCCTTCCGACCTCGCCCATTGCCCCTCGCTGCGATCATCGTGGAGAAACCTTTTTCAAGACCATGGTCAACTATGAACGCGCGCACGAATAGGGTGTCTGACCCTACGTTCGCGTTTCAATGAGATTCCAAACCTCGGCTGACAAGGTTCGGTGAGACTCCGAGAAGGACTTAGGCGGAGGCGGGGGACGGCCCCGGGAAGGACGGGGGGGTGAACTCATGGGAGGAAGAGCAGGAGGTCGGGGTGGAGAGGAATGGAGAACGCAGAGAAGAGGAGGACCATGAGGATCGAAATAAGACGTGCGGCATTGGCACCTAGCCACCTAACGCAGCGGCGGTTGAGGAGGGGCGACGCTGCCATCGGTGCCGACGTCGCCATCGCCATCGCCATCAACTTACTCTGGATGTCGGAATACACGCCCCCCCCCTCCCTTTTGGAGCCACCAAGGGGGGGTGGGGGGCGAGCGCCGTCGGAGGGGGCGGATGCGGTTGGAGGAGGAGGGACTGAGGAGGGAGGAGGAGGAGGGCGGAGGAGGAGGAGCCTGATGATGAGGGATGAGGGGGGAGGAGGAGGAGGAAGAGGAGGAGAAGCCTGAGGAGGAGAGAGGAGGAGGATGGGGAAGCTCCGTCGGAATGTGCGCATCGTCGTCGCCATCGCTGCCGCGGCGAAGCCAAGATCCTGCCAGCGCGGGCGGCCAGCGGCGGCCAGGGTGGCGGGCCCCTTTCCCGTCTTCTCACTCCTCCGTCCTCCGTCCTCGTCCTCCTCCCCCCTCCTCCGCTCCTCCGTCCTTCCTCCTGCCTGGCTGCCTGGCCTTCTGCCTCCTGCTCACTGAACACACTGAACACTGAAACGCCTCACCCCTACTTCCTCCTCATCCGTCTCCTCCTCTTCCTCTCGTCCTCCCTCCTCCTCCTCATACTCCTCCTCCTCCCCCTCCTCCTCTTCATCATCACCATCATGACAATCGTCATCATCACCACTATCACCATCATCAGCATCATCACCAGACATCAACATGATCACCATCATCATCAGCAGCACCAGCATCATCATTATCATCATCGTCATCATCATCCTCCTCCCCCTCCTCCTCCTCCTCATCCCTCCTCACCCCTTGCTCTCCTCCTCCTCCTCCTCATCCTCCTCATCCGCCCCCTCATCATCCTCATCTCACCGCCCTCATCCCCCCCCTCCCTCCACCCTCCTCCACCACTATCCCTCCTCCCTCCTCCTTCCTCCTTCCTCCATTCCTCCATCATCATCATTCCTCATCCCCCGTCCTCCTCCTCATGGCGCGGAGCAATGATATAGCAATGAGACAGATTTGAGATGGGAGACGGGAGACTGATACAAATGTTCTGACACGCGCACTGCCGCGTCGTGTCGCGCTCCTTGGAGCTCCGTGCCAAGCCGAGCGCTGCTCCGTGATCGTCACTGGGACGAACGGACGTCAACGCGTGGCCTGTGGCCCCGAAACACTACATGAGAAGAGATCTGCCCCGATCTCAATTCTCTGCGCGCCGGTCGATGGGGCGAGCGGCCGCTCCTAAGACCTAAGACAAAAATGGTGACGGATGTCGACTGCGTGGGTCAGGGGCATGCGCCTGGGCCAGGCGGCCTGGGGCCTGGGTAGTGAGTAGTGAGGAGTGAGGAGAGAGGACTGAGCACTGAGGAGTGAGGAGCGAGCCTCGGTGAGGAGCGCGAGGCGCGAGGTGATTATTGGTTTTGGCCCCTGGACAGCGGACGGCCCAGGGTCCCAGGGTCGCAGGCCCCAGAAAATCTTGAGTGAGCGTGTGAGAGTGAGGGGCCCCGGCAGAAAAGGACATGTCGCATGCTGGCCCGAATGCCGCTGCGCCGAATGTCCAGCGCAGCGTGACCTGCGCGATGATCCGCCGCGCAAAAACTGCAGTCCGAATTAGCGTCGTGCCCGCCTCCTGCCTCCTGCCCCAGCTGCAGCTAGATCATCCATCCTCTCTCTCTTATTCACTTTTCCAACCTCCAACCTCCAACCTCCAACCGCTAGGCCAGCGTAGCACTCGCCCCTCGCCTCGCCTGCGACGCCGCTGAGGCCCCATGCCCGCCGCCACTGCGGCGTTTCTCCGCGGGCTGCGTCGCCTGCGCCAGCAAGGAATTGACGGCTCCGAGCACGCAGGGGTGCGGGGTCATCAGGTTCAGCTGAACAGCCTCGGAGCCGACCGCGTGTGCTTTGGCCTCAAGCGACGCCAGCACCCTGCGCAAGTGGCTTGCAAGGTCGCCGAGCGAGAAGCCAGTCGCACGGAGCATCGCCTGCATGACGGCCATGGAAGCAGCGAGGCGGCCAGCGCGGACGATTGCCTTCTCCTGGAACCACCAAGCGTGCGACGGAGTACTCGGCCGCTGCTGCTGGTGGCGCCCAGGTACTGCGAGCGCGTGCTGCAGAAGAGGAACGCACGTCTCGTTGTAGAACTTCCACACGATAAACCTCAGGGCTCAGGCAAAGGGCAAAGGCACCCATCCGCGTCCTCCTCCGTCTCAAGACTCAAGACATCGCCCGTGCCTCGTTCCTGGACCGCCCGCGTTCGCATCCTCCTCTCCGTCGTAGGACCTCATCCTCATTTCCCATCTCTCCTTCTCTATTCCTCCTCCTCCTCCTGCTCAGTCTCCTCGTTGCTCCTTCCAGGCCCTTGGTCATTGCCGCCCTCCATCCCTCCTGTTCCAACCTCTGGTCCTACCTGGCTCCTACCTCCTACTCGGTCATGCCGCCATGCCTCATGCCGCATCCTCATACATCCGACCTCCTACCTGGTCCTACCTGGCAGCCTACCTCCCACCAACCTCTAACCTCCGACCTACCTACCTCCTACCTCCTACCTGGCCCTACCAAGGCCCTACCTCCGACCACCTCCTCCCCATCATATATATATATATATATATTTATACTTCCCTGCTTCGTCGGTCCACCCCCACCCCATGTCCGCGCCAGGTCGCAGGCGATGCCGCGCGACCGGGGGGGCGGGAGGAGGAGACACAGGAGGGGTGGCGTAGGAGTTTACGAGGGCGAGGTCGAGGTGGAGGAGGGAGGAGGGGGGCGTGGAAGCAGGAGGAGGGGAGGGGGAGGGGGCTGCGGGGGTAAGTGGTAAGTGGCAGCATGTAGGATGTAGGAGGTAGGGGGTAGGAGGCTAGCCGCCACTAGCGCGGCAACGCTAAGGCCTGCACAACGTCTTGGCGGGTTTGCCGCTGGCGACCTCCAAGTACGTGGCGCTATCCTTCTCCTGAACGATTAAGCCCGCCTCGCTCATCTGGTCGAGAGCGTCGCTGAGCGGGAGTGGGCCCAGGTGGAAGGCGTCGTCGTCGGGCAGCGTCGCCAAGAGCTGTTTCGTCATGCGGGCCAAGTCCTCGACCCTGCCAACCAACGTAGCGCACATGGCATCCGTCGTCGCTGTGCAAACCGAGGCCAGCGCTCGGGCCTGAGGCGTCACAGTGCACCCTGCCGCAATCCATGACGACACCACTTCGTTCACCTCGGCGAGGGCAGTCCTGTGGAGGCACACCGCTGCGTTGAGAGCGCTGGCAAACGCCGTCCCCAACTTTGCGCGGTGCGCCAACAGCGCCTCCTTCAGCGGGGTCAAGAAAGACCAGCTCAGCACACACTCCGCACACGCCACACACCACACATCACACATCGTCACATCACGAATCACATCACATCACACCTCACACATCACATCACGTGACCACTGACCACTGACACGCTGACACTGACCATACACCATACCCACACCCCACACCCCACACCCCACGCCGACCCCCCACACGCACATCGGCAGGAGCTAATCAGGAAATGAGAAATGACCGATCGACCCTGGACTCCTGGACTGATGGATCGTCGATCGGATGATCGATCGCCGATCGATCGTCGATCGTCGATCAATCAGTCCAGGGCCCAGGGTCCAGGGTCCAGTCCAGGGGGTCCAGGGTCCAGGGCAACTTCGCTCTCCCCTTCCTCCTCCTCCCTCCTCATCCACCTCCTCATCCTCCTCCGCCCTCCAGAGCATGAGGCGGGGGTCTTCGTCGCCGTCGTCGTGGAGGTCCTGCCGGGCCCTCGCGCCACCCTTGTCGCCGTCGACGTGCTGCCAGGACGCGGGGTACAGCGCGCTTCCAGGTTCGCCGCCCTCATTGAGGGCAGTAGCGTCCACCAGAGATTGCGCAGCACGCCACTCCTTGCAAAACCAAGACATCTTGATTGCAAGCAACACGTGGTCGCCTGAATGCTTCTGGAACGCCGCGAGGTTCGCCGGGTCCTGTGTGCTCGGTCCCCAACCTGGTGAGAATGCAGGGCGGAAGCGGCAAATGGTGGATGCGACGCAGCTCAATGCGTCCAGGGACGCGAGAACTCGTGGCGACCACTCTTCGTCGTCGCTCAGGTTCGTGGCGGCCGCCTCGCACTCCTTGGCCAGGTCGCCAGTGCCCGCCTCCATGCGCGAGGCAGCAGCAAGAACTCCAAATGGGCTGGTAGTCAAGGCTGCGCTGCAGGCACACTGCAGCAGTAGCCTCGCCTCGAGCACCGCGGGTGGCCAGTTGGCGATGTTCCCGCCGCGGACCGTCTCCAATGGCACGCGGCAGTTCTCGTTGGACATGACGACTTGATCATAGAACTGATCCAGCTTACTCGATTTGAGGTTGCCATGGTTGTCGCTCATGAGCATGGCGAGCCCTGGCGCCCATGCGCGCGCGGCCTCCGCTGTCCGTGAGCGCGCGGAACTCACGCGCGATGCTCGATGAGGGGCGAGGCGGTTGCAGCGAGGTCCCTCCGCCTCGGCGACGGCTCTGAGAAGCTGGAGTGGGCGGTCAAGCTCTGCGCGAGAAGCCACACTGGACACGTCGACCAGCGCCCGGTTGAGCAAGGCCACGTCGCGCTCCTTCGTGGCGGTCTCGGAGTCCGCCCCGATCGCGTCGAGCTTGGCTGAGACCTGGCGGCGCGGTCTTGCCTCCTGCATCCTGCTGTTATCATCCTTCCGTCTCCCTTCTCCCTTCTCCCCTCCCCTCCTCCGCCCTCCGTCCTCCGCCGTCTCCACCGCCTCACCTCCTCCTCCTCCTCCTCCTCCTCCTCCTCTTTCTTCTCCTCGCTAGTGAGGGAGCGAAGGAGGGCCCAAACCTGGTCCAGATCGTGCTTGCGCTGCTCCTTGAACCTGTCGGTCATCGTGCTCATCAGCTGATCGTACTTGCCCATGGCCGTCTCCACGGCAACAGCTGTCTCCTTCGGCAAGGCCACTGACCCGGCGCCAGCCGCGCCACCCTCATTCTCGAGCTGAAGTGGCGACTGCATTGAAGCAATAATGTCGCAGATGTCATTGAGCTGCCCTGCAAGCACTTCCTTGGATTTCATCCGCGCGCCTTCTGTGGACACGGCGGGGAGCACTGCAATGCCAGCGGGCAAGAACATCAAAGCTTTCAGGAAAGGACTGGGATGTTCGCCGTGAACGTCAAGCATCGCCTCCTTGTCGCCTACAACCTCGTCGACCTCCGCGTCGGGAACCGCGGCGATGAATACCAGCCGGCATAGCCGCTCCACTTCCGTGGCGAACGCTTCGCAGCCGGCCGCCGTCAGCAGTGGCGGCGGTTCAGTGGCGGAGTCACCGATGCTCTGAAGCATGCCAGTGAGCGCGCCCACGCCGACGTTAGCTGGCTGCCTGAAGATGACCACGAGCGTCTCCATGATGACCCGCGAGACGCTAGGTTCGCCCTCGCCAGCAGTGATCGGCGGGCGGTGCAGCGAGGTGCGCCATTGCGCAGCCTGGAATGTCATATCGCCAGCGAAGGTCGCCCAGTCAGCCTGATCCGCTGCAAGTCCAGCGCCCCGCCTCCAAGTGGAGTAGCACGTGGCATTGGGGACCTTCGCGCCCGATGCGACAAGTGCGCACAAGGCAGCATGCGCAGCCGCCTGCTCGCACTGGCCAGCTGGCTTCTCAGTCGTGAGCTTGAACGTCTTCCACAAAGTCAGCGCATCGAGCGTCGCCCTCAGGGGCGCGGAAATGGGGGGGGGGGGGGGGGGGGGGGGCGGAGGAGGTATGAGGTAGGAAAAGAAAATAGGAAATAGGAAGGTAGGAGGGCAGGATGCAACGTAGGAAGGGCGTCGAAAGGAACAAAGTCGGTAGGGAAGGCGCGACCACAGGAAGGAAGTGGGGGGTGAGGGAAGGAGGGCCGACGGACCAGGTAGGACGCAGGACGCAGGGACGCAGGGCGTAGGACGTGGAGGCAGAAGTAGCAAGATAGCAGTAAGAACGCGGGAAAGGCAGGGGGAAGAAGAAGCAAGAGAGGCAGAGACGCAGGGAAAGACGAGACATGGGTCCGCAGCTGTTCCGCGACATTCAGACAGTCAGACCTTAATACCCTTGAGGCAGCCGTTCCGAGACATGGGTCCGAGACACTTGAGTCAGACAGTCAGACCTTAATACCCTAGTAACATAACATTGACCTATTGACATGTAACCTCTGACCTCCGACTTTCATCATCCAATCATCCATCGCCCCCTCGTCATCCAGATCCCATTATCCATATTATCCCCCCGCCCCCCCCCCCCCCCACCCCCCCTTCCCGGCCCCCCCCCCCCCCCCCCCCCCCGGCCATCCCTTGCCCAAAGCGCGCCTGCTGCGCCGCCTGCGCCGGGCAGGGCCAGGTCGCCAGCAAAGGCAGCGGTGCATTTACCGACCATGCGACTCTCGACTTCGGCGATCACCTTCTGGATCCGCTTGGAGTTCACGCCCGCGTTCAGACTCCCGTCTGTCAACATTGACACGGTCTGAGTGGCCTTCAGCAGCGTTTGGCCCGCGAGGGCCAGCAAGTTGGCCGCGGCAGTCGCGCCGCCACGGTCGCCGCCACCAGCGCCGCCGCAGCCGCCGCCGCGCCCTCTGCCCGCGCTGCGACCAGCCCCGCCGCCGCGGTTGCCAGCGCCACCGCGGCCGCCACCACTCGAACGGCGACCGTGGGGCCCGACATCCGTGAAAAGCATGTCCAGGTCGTCTGAGAATGAGCCGCCAGTCACTGTGATCGCGCAAGCGCCGCCATCTGGATTCTGCAGCGCACTAACTCCGAGAGCTGCCACCTGCGCGAGGCCCCTGTACGTCTCGTTGACTTGTGTCCGCCCACGAGCAGCTGTCTGGTCGTTCTCGACCATAGTGTGTTGCTCCACCTTCTCCAGTGACTCTTCGGACACGCGGTGACATCCAGGCGGGCGCCCGAATTCGTCCTCGTTCCTGAAGACTCCCTTCATTTCTCTGCCGTTATGAATGTGGGGCGTCACCAATGACGCTGGAGGAGCGTGCCCCTCGCGTTGCTCGTAGACCTGCCTGGGCCAGAAGACGCCGCACACGAGTTCACTTTTGCGGCTCACGGACTTCACCGCGACAACGAACGTGTTCATCATGCCTCTCAGCTCCTCCCCCCAGCGGCGAACGGAGCCTGCGGGGGCGGAATGTAAAGGTCAGCCCGGTGAGAAAAATTACCCCAGTGCGACCCGACCTAGAAGTTGGAGCCCCTAGGAACTAGGAAAGCAGCATTACTTGCTATGCTATGATATGATATGACATGCTATGCTGCGCTATGCTGTGCTATGCAATGCTGGATATGATGCGCTATGACGCGATATGCGATGCTATGATATGATATGGTATGTTGAGCTGTGGTATGTCATGATGCGATGTGCTATGCTAAGCTATGGTATGCTAGCTGCTAGCTCTGTTATGCCCTGCGTTGCGTTGTTCCTATGACTGATATACTATACTCTGCTATGAAATGATGTGATATGCTGCGCTGTGCTATGCTGTGATGTGCTGTGCTGCGCTATGATATGAAATGAAATGGTATGCTGCGGTATGCTATGTTATGATGGGCTATGCGACGGTATGTTGTGCTGCGCTATGCTATGCTACGCTATGATCTGCTCTGCTATGCTCTGTTGCTAACTAAAGATCAGCGAAGCTAAGATGCAGGCGCGCCAAGCTAAGATAAACCAGGGCTACAGCTAAGATGAAATAAGCTAAGCTAAGATGAGATAAGCTAAGATGAGATAAGCAACGCTAAGCAAAGGGAACGTCACTGGGGAAGCCGCGGGGCGGATGCCGGGGGAACCGCCAGGGGCGTTTTTTGCCAGGCACTTTACGTTTATACATGAAATAAGAATCCTTCCAGAGCCTAGGTGTGGAAAAAAGGGGAGGAGCAGGGGGGGCGGGGCTGCCTTGGTCAGCCGTGGCGTCGTTCTGCATCTCCTCCCACCCATAGATCACGAGCATGTACGAAGCCTTGAAGAACTCTTCCGATCCTTCGGGCGCCCGCATCTTCGCCGCGATCGTTGTCTTGGCGATGCCTCGCATGCCCCAGCCTTGGCCATTGCGACGCGGCAGACACCCCCTGGAGCGGTCGCGGGCCGGTTCCAAGTAAGGGCAAGGGTGGTTGATCAGCGGGTTGCGGGAGCGGAAGGACCTGAGGCACGCGTTGCAAGTGCAATCTTCACTGGGCTCTGGGCAAGCGGCCGTCGGCACAGGTGGCCCCAGCGATTGGCGACGCTGATTCACGACAGCGATCATCTGCTTCATCGACGCGATCGTGTCTGCGGGCACCGTGGTCGCGTCGAAGCCAGGTGCGTTGTACACGCGGCGGAGGACGTCGAGGGGTCCTCATGGGGCACGCACAAAAGGGCTTACTCCTCCTCCTCTTCATTCTCCTCCTTCTCCACCCTCCACGTCCTCCCCCTCCTCCTCCTCCTCCCCCCCCTCCTCCGCGCCCCCCCGCGCCCCCCTGCCCCCCCCCCCCATCCGCCGCAGAGGAGGGGGGGGGGGCAGGAAGGAGGAAAAAAGGGGGAAGGAGGGGAAGATAATAATAGCAGAGAGGAGGGAGGGGGGAGGGAAGGAAGGGCTCTCGGGCTCTCAAGGCTGGCGGGGGTGCTGGGACGATTCAGGATTAGGGATTTAGTGATACATGATTAGGAAGATAGCACCCCCAGACCCCAGAGCTCAGACTTCAGACCCCATAGCACCCTCAGACCCCACGACGCATCGAAGCATCAAGCAAAGGGCCCCCAGGGCCCCCACCCCTGGCCCAATCCCCCCTGGCCCTGGCCGCGACCCTAGGCCCTGGCAAGCGTTGTCGCCGCCGCCGCCAACCAACGTCGTCGCCGTCGTGGGGCGTCAGTCGTCAGTCGTAGTCTTTAGTCACTAGTCGTTAGTCAGTCGTTAGTCGTTAGTCAGTCGATCGTCGATAGTTCTTAGTCGTCGTCCGTTGTCGCCCGTCGCCCATTCCCAGTCCGTCAGGCCGACGCTGTTGGCCCTGCCCCTGTCCCGCGGCGGCGCTGCCGTTGGCGCCGGAGGCGCTCCCGACTGCGCTGCCGCCGCCGCCGCTGCCCGCCAGGGACGGGGTGCCACGAGATGGCGCTAGGGCGCCGCGCAGCATCACTGGCAGCGAACCGCGAAGAATGGCAGCGCACAGTGCACGGACGACTGCGGAAGCGATTGGGCCCATGGCACCGAGGTCCCAAAAGGCCCATGGATTCACGAAAGCAACGGTCTCAGTCTCAGGTATGTGATCCGTGTCTGGTTTCGGATTTAATTTTCGGAGGGCCCCCGCCTGGGGCCCGCCCGCCAGGGGGCCGTCAAGGGTCGGGCCAGGGGATCAGGGCCCAAGGGCGCCAGGGGACAAGGGGTCGAGGGTCGGTTGCTGAACGCCTTGCTGCTTAATCGCTGTCCGCAGTCGCATCGGCCACTGCGCAGAGTAGCGCCGCCGCGGGGTGCAGGGGGCTGCGGGCTGCAATCTGAGTTGCGGGGTGCGACACGCGACAGAGAATGTCGCCATAGACTCGGGCCGATACAGATGCGACGCACCCGACAGCTCAAGCGCGGGCCAACTCGTCAACTGCACTCTGCGCTGCGGCGAGACGGGGAGTAGAAAGGAGAGAGTGGGTGGGGGGGAGGGGGCGGGGGGGAGCGGGCGAGCGCGGTGAGCGGCGAAGAGTTGCGAAGTGACGAGGGGGAATGGTCGGGGAGGGAAACTGCGTGAGAGAGAGAGAGAGAGAGAGAGAGAGAGAGAGAGAGATGACAGTGGCAAAGCGGCAAAGGGGAAAGAAGGGAGAAGTGACGAAAGAAACACGCAACGATACGATACAATACAACAGCGGTACGTCGGGATACGGTGGAGGCAGTGGATACAAAAGGATGAGGGATACGGATGCGGGATCAGACACCCGTCGCGGCTCAGGAACTCAAGGTCTCTCGACCATGATCGGCCAATCGGCGCGACGCCGCGGGAAGGAATGCCGCAGGGCGCGAGTATCCAAGTATCCCTCATCCTCTAATACATGGACCGATGCAACCACGATGGCGATGCCTGGTGGCGATGCGATGGCGACGATGATGGCGATGCCGACATGACGACGCTGACCGATGACGGGGGGGAATGGCGATCTTGATTATGACAATATGCGGACCGAATATTTCACATGGTGCTCCGAACCGATCGTTAGACACCGACGAAACCTACATCCTACATTCCTAAACTACATACTACATATCACTGTACACGCTGTGCACGCACACGGAAACACGACAGCTCGAAAGCTCGAAAGCGTGGCCCCCTGCAAAGGAGTGGCCCCAGGGCCTCCATGGAGAGGCTCGCGAGGGGAACTGTTCTCAACTCTGCAGCATCCGAAAGAAGGATTCCAGTGGCTGGGTGGCTGCACAAGCCACGCGCCACAAGCAGACAGGCCCATATGCCATGGGCACGCGGCACAATAGCCACATGCAACAGTGCAACAGGCAGCCAGCAGACGGAAAAAGTAACAGCTGGCAGCTGGCAGCACAGCAGGGTTGGTCCACCGGGTTGGTGAATTTGCGAAAATCACTAGGTCTCAAGGGCCTTCTGCCCGATTCAAAATAGCCAATGCCACAGCACACAGCACCTACTGCTGGTGCTGGACCGAGTCGGCCTGCGTGGCCGCCGCGGCCTGCATCGCCTGCATCGCGTGGCGCTCAGCCTCACACCACTGCTGGTTCATCTGGTGCAGGTCGAGAACGCGCCGCAGCCGCTTCGCGGCCTGCTCCCTGCGCTCCTCGCGGCGATGCAGCTCATCAAGCATGTCAATTGTAGCCAGATGTTTCTCCGTGAGCTCGAACTGCGCGTCCGCGTGCACGATCATCGAGTCGAGGCTGTCGCAGTCGCTGCCGCAATCTGGCGTCCGCGGGGAGGGCGGGGCCCACCACCGCGGCACTGGCAGCCCCATCAACTCGTCCATGGCCGCCTTCTCCTCCTCTTCCTCCCTGATGCGCTTGCGGTCCAGCTTGTCTTGGTCCACAGCACGGCGAGACGATGCTGCCTTTGCCGCGCGAAGCGCTGCGGCCTGCGCCTCCTCGCGGCGACGCATCTCCTCCAGCGCCTCCACCTCGGCTCGGGCCGGGCGAAAGGGGGCGATAGCAAAGGGGGGGGGGGGGGGGAATCGGCTCACGCAACTAATTTTCGCGGCGCCCCCCAGGCGGCGGGAGGCGCCCGTGCATCGATGCATCGAGGAGTGGGCTTGGCGGCGGGGCCGAAACCAGCTGCATGCAGCAGATTTCGCAACCCCCTCCTTTCCATATCCCTCCCGTTCGTTCGGTCCGATCCACCGTGAACTCCCAGTCCTGGTCATCGTAATAATCCAGGTCCTCGGAGTCGACGCCGTCGCCGAACCCTTCGTACTCGCCCAGGTCGCTGGGCGGGGTCGTAACCGCCGCCGCGATGGCGCGCCGCTCCTCATCATCCTCCTCGGCGCTCATGAGCGGCGTGCGAGGGGCAGCCGCGGGCTCCAACTCCATGGCCATGGGCGGCGTAAACGGAATGGCGTCCTCGTCCTCCATCGGCGGCGTGAGCGGAACGACGTCCTCGGGACCAGCGGCGGCGTGAACGGCATCACGTCGTCCTCGCAGCTGCTGGGCGGCGCAGCGGCGCTCGCCAGCGCCGTGCTGGGGGCAGAGCAGCAGCGGGTGCAGCCCTTGGCGCTGCAGCCACAGCCGCCGGCGGCACCGGCCATGGCCGCCGCGACTCGCTGAATTGCCGAGTCAGCTGCTGAGGCTGCGCAGCTGCTCAGCTGCTGAAACAAACAAGCTCGACGCTCGAGTGGCGATGGCAGCGGACAGGGCAGGAGGCACGGGGCATGCGGCATGGGGCATAGGGGGAAACGGCCGCAATCCAATCCGCAATGGCCGTGATGTGATCAAGTGTGGACGGCGCGGCTTTGAGCAGCCTAGAGCATAACCTCCCGCTCCTCCGGTCCTCGCTGTTTCAATCGCTCTGGCGCCCGACCTCCGCCCTCCTCTCACCCGCCAACCAACCGCCAACCGCCAGCCGTATCGGTCTCATCACCGATCAACCCTAGGCCCCTAGGTCACCTGGGGCCTGGGGCCCCATCGGATACGCGGGGCGCCCGAGGGTGGGCGTGCGAGGGCGGGCGCGGAGGGTGGAGGGTGGAGGGGGGAAGGGGCGGGGCACGAAGGGACTGAATGATATGTAACATGCGACAATGACAGGTGACAGGTGACGATTCGGACGCACGTTGAAGCTTGCAACCTACATCATCGTGCATCTCCATGCATGCTGCATCCTGCAAGCCGTTGATCCAGCGTGTAAGTGGGGGAACACACGCATCTGCATGGAAAACGTAAAACTGCACACTGGACAAACAACGTAACGTACATGCACAGACGAGCAGCGAGCTGGGCGGGCAAAATGCGCGCACCTGTCGGCAAGCAAGCAAGTAAATAATTCAAATGAAGCTTAGAGAGCCACGTAGCAACGTAGCAACTACCAACTACCAACTACCGAATGCCGAATACTGAGTGCTGAGAGCGACCAGTGGCCAGCCAGCCGTGCGGCTGACCAGCACAGCTGTACGGTACAAATCGTCCGCAGCGCAAGACCATCGGCCAGCATCGTAGACTCTTAGATTCAACGCCCTGGGCTCCAAAACCGTCGGTCCTTAATCGGCGGATGTGCGGATGTGGGGGTCAGCGGGTGGGCCGGGTGGGGGAGGTCTCTGGCTGCGTCTTATCTACCTGCTTCCACCTTCCGACAACTTCCGCCGAGCAGCTCAGCACGAATGGAACATGGACAATGGAGATTGAGCGAGCACATAGATGGTAGCTACGGGCTACGGTAGATGGGCACCTCAGCCTCAGACCTTCAGCCCTGAGGGTTCACGGGTTCAGAGGTCACTTCAGAAGTCCCAGAGTGCGTCCAAGTCCACCACGTCCTCGCCGCTGTTGACGGTTGCTGAGCCAACGGCGTGCGGCTCGGGGTCCTCAGAACTGAAGATTGAGCTGATCGAATTTGCACGCGCGGAAGCAGACACCAGACACGAGAGGTGAAAGAGCAGGCGGCGCAGCAGTCAGGGCAGGATGCCGAGCGGGGGGCCGCAGACCACCCATGGGCCAGGGGCACTGAAAAAATATCCCGAGACCACGGACCAGGGAGGCAGATGGACCAAGGCACTAGGGCCCACGGGGCCAGGGCCCACGGGGCCCGGACCCCGACCAGGATCCAGACGAGTCAGGAATCCATGGAATCCAAGAGCCCA